TATTATTCTCATGAAGTATGATTTTCTTGCAAAGATAGATTTTATATATGCTGTAAAAGTAGAATGGAATATAATTTACAGATGAAAATGGGGTGCTTCTGAGAGTCAGAAAAGGATACTATTAATAATTACATCAGTACACCAGGTGCACAAGAGGACTACACAGGCCAACTGAGATGCATGCCACACTGTGTAAAAGTCAAGGGTGAAATCTATGCTTTATTAAATAAGCATCAGAAGACCTAATTAAGAGTATCATCACTAGAATCAGTGAAATTTTAGAGCTGAGTACAATTCAAGAGATTCCTAAACCCACTTATTTTAGAGAGAGCGCAAGGCCAAAGTGCAGCGAGGTTAACCCACCTGTCCAGGTTACACAAAAAAGGTAGGCGGTTGTGTTAAAATTGGAAACGGGTCTCCTGATTTGCTGTGATCTTTCTATTTTACCATACCTCCTCTAGGCAAAAGGCATTACTATGGATCCATATTGTCTACGGTATGCAAATAACTTGTAAAATATTCTTGAAGGAAAGAACCACAATATCACAAAATGTGATACAAAGCATAGACCAAAAGAAATTTCACAATCTTGATCTTAAAAGAAATAATTTCCTTTTTTTACAAACTGGCAACCAAAGGGAATGAATATTGCCCTATGCATGTTGGCTTACTTTTACTCATTTAAGTAAATCCACACATACATTGTAAGACATTGGCAGATTATTCAGAAGAGGAGGGAACACTCAGCCATCAAAAATCCCAAGAAGCTCTCAGCATCCTGAAGAACTTAATACCGTTAATTATTTGCAAATATTCACTTTCCAAGATTAGCCTTCTAGAAAGTTTCTCTTTTTTAGGATGAGTGGGTCTTATGGAAACATTTAGCTATTAGATATCATGAGTAAAACAAATTTTCATCAACTTTATATAATCCATATAAAAAGTACTATTAATATTTTTATATTCACATTTTAAAAGTCATTTAATCAGAAAGGTTGGTAAATGTACTCATTATTTCATGACATAGATCATATCTTCCTAAAGTAAACATCAGTCTTAAAATTGATCATCATTCAGAGAAGAAAACCTTTTTTTTTCTTTTTATAGCATATTTACTTGTAAGTAGGAATGTAAACAGGATCTTATGTGATGACATTTTGTGAATACTCTTTTATATTCTCTGACTCTGTGAAAACTGAAAATTCTCCCCTACTGCTTGCCCTGCAGGATGGCTGAACAAACCTCATCTCATCTATCTAAAATGAATCCAATTTAATTCTGCTTGACCAAAAATCTGTTTCCATAGTTCTAAAACATGCAATCACCCTAAAGTACAATGCCATTGAAGCTACTGCTGAGGAAAATACACCTTGATTGAGAAAACAGTCCAGTGTGGCTTTTGAAAAATAAAATGACCCTCCCTGGTACACAATTTGGTAAGGAGGTTGATGAAAGTAGGCAGGTCAAAGGTTACAGTCTTAGAATTAGCATTACAGATCACTTTCATATTTAAATGTCAAGACTTTGACAATTCTAACAAACATTTAAATTCTACATGTATCAGTAATCTCTTTGTAGTTGGAGGGCAAGATAAAAATCAACTGTGAAGTAAAGTAAATTTACAACAAATTATTCTGTTACTCAAAAATAAATGATTTGCTTTCTTCCCTAGTAGTTTTCCCCCCATAAATTCACATCTTATTACCTGTAATCACAAACATATCCTTTTAAGAGCGAATTCTTTTTTTTTTT